GGTGAGCAACTGTAGCATATATTTTTTCCTATTGATTTAATTATTTATTATTAGTAGTATTTGTATATATTAACTTAGATTCAATTAGTAAATAGTTCTTATCTCAATTTTACGAGCTTCCTTATTTCTTTTTCCTCCAACTCTTCCCCTCCACTGGAGGAGGGGAGGGGGCTTTGTGAGAGCAGCTTCGTGGTATTTGGCTAGCTGGAGTTAAACCACGACAGGAGTCAGTTACTCTCAAACTTGGCTTTGGAGGGCTGAGGAGTGTTTACAGCATTCAGTAACTTAGCACTGATTTCTGAGACTTGACTGGGATAAATGTTCTCTCTTTTAACTGAAGTAGTTACACCTTAGATTTCTGAAAGCTGGAGTCTCTTGCATTCTTCACAACATGCTATTCTGACCTTTTTTCTTTAGGTGAGAGAACGTGCAAGGGATTTTTTTGAATTTCTGTGTCAGCTGGCCGTTGAATTGGAACAGAAAGAGCAAGACGTGCGTGATGCAGCAAGCGGAAGCTCGGGCACATCTGAAGAACAGTTAGTTTTCCCTTGGACAAACCACTGCAGTGAAGACAATAACGGTGGAGCTTCTCAAAGATTAGATGCCAATATATTAGTTGTGAGTCATGGAGCCTACATGAGGAACTGGATTGGTTATTTTGTTTCAGATCTCAACTGTACTTTGCCAGCGAATTTAACAAAGTCTCAGCTGTCCTCTGTCAGTCCCAATACAGGAGTTAGTCACTTCATCATAAAGCTGGGAAACGGAAATCTGTTAAAACCTGAAGTCACATGTGTTTGTCTTAATCAAGATTCTCACTTAGTGGACGTGGGAGCTGAATGTGTAGTTCAAAAAGTGTTTTAAGAATCGTTGTAGCAGAAAGTAGTTTTAGGTCCCCATTATAATAAGCTTGGGAAAGGTATCTGTAGTAATTACTGAGGTTGGCTGGAGTTATTGACACTAAACTGCAAAATTGAGGACACGCCACTGCTTACTGTCTTAAAATAACGCGATTTGCTTCAGGTGCCCAACTTAAGTTGGCACCAGAGAAAACACACCGATGTTCCTTACGAACAGAAACCTAATACTTCCAGTCACTTGCATATCTGCTCCTAGAGGGCATATTTTTGAGAACTTCTCTTCATCAGCACATCCTTATTTTGGTTATCTCCAGGTGAAAGAGTTGGGGAGGGGAGAGGAGTAGTACCTCCAAAATGAGCTATACTGAATTCTTGTTTTATTACAAAATGCTGTATTGTAATATTAAACATAGATGTTGTTTCAAAACGACTTTTTTGAATGCAATAGAATAACCTAAAAAGGAGCCTTGCCTGGTGGAAAAGGCCTGGTACAGAGTCAGGGGTCACGCACCAGGCTTTGATACCAAAAAGCCGTGAGACCCTGGGCGAATCTCTCTTCCATTTGTAAAATGGGGACGATGATCTACCTACCTCACAGGAGGGTTTCACAAGAGTTGTTAGTATTGTTGAGACCCCTGTTGAAGAGCACTGTACACAAAGATAGAGTATTTATTTTTGACTGTGAGCAGTACGAGGTACCTCACGTGCAAATAGTTGAAATGAGGTTCCTTTTCAGAAGAGAGACCGTTATTGGTGGGGTGAGTCTACCCGACTAGAACCCTTTCGTGAGTTACAATCACACACTTGATGGATGAACATTTTTGCCTAGAATTAGGCATGTTTGATTACTTGATCATTGCTTATAGTTGCTGTTAGTACTGCGTTCTTTCCCCACCGGCGTGCCGGTAGTGTTGCTGTGTAAGCCTACCTGATTTATGTTATTTAAAATATCCACTTTAAAAGAAAAATAATTAAAAATATTAAAGGCTTCTGAATAGAACTTCATTTTGTCTGTATTTCTTTTGAGGTAAAAATCTTTGTTAGTGTTACTCTGTGAAACTCTGCTGAGATTATATAAATTCTGTTGGGTTTTTTTCTGAAAAACCCCAGGCTGATCTTTTATTGTGAAAAAGAGCCCTTTTTGGGCCTGATGAGTCAGTGCTATACCTGAAAGAACCACTTAACCTGTTAAGGATATAGTTAAATTGCTTGCTCCAGTACAAAATTACCTGAAGTTTTGAGTATTTTTTTGTAATTTTTACGCTGTCTTCTGTGCTTTAAACTACTTGGAGACTTTGCCTTGAGGCAGACACTTGAATGTTGAGGAGGAAGAAGAGGTTGCTGTGGTTTCCTTGAACAGGTGGGTACCTATACTTAACTGCAGCCCTACTGAAGCTCAGCAGCAGAATTATTTAAGCTGACTCTGGTGACTGTACTTTGCTGCTTCTGTTCCCCAGACTGTGATTCCATGGGAGAGTTCCCATGATTCCTGCTTGAACACAGAATGGGGCTCTGCTTCTCCGTGCTGTTCGCCCAGTGCTGATGAATACTGCCGAAGCGTTGAGGGCGAAGTGGGAAGTGGTCAGCCCAGTGTGGCTTCTAAGGTAGAACCCTTCTAAGGTGGTGTTCTCCAGGATCAGGAAGTGGACTTTTTCCCCGCAGCCGGGCATGTTTATCTAGCAACTAACCGTGGGACCATCTGCTGCTGCCTCTGAGAACGAGTCCATAGGGAAGGGTGCAGCTCACCTGGGATGCAGAGGTGGATACTCCTGACCAGTGTCAGCAAGGATCGATCTTTCAACCTCTAGCCCACTGTACAGTGTGAAGGATTGGACGCTGGTAGGTTGGGTTGGTGAATCTAAACCGGAATGTTACACTGAGCCGCATCAGTAGGCGGAACATGTTGTTTGCTGATCAGCTGTCTTCATTTCTTTACAGAGAGCAAGGCAGGCCGCTTCATCGTGGCTCCTCTGGCCCCGGGTGAGGCAGCTCCTCAGCGTTCAGGTCTGTCTGTGCAAGTCTTGGGACTAGAGGTGTTCCAGCACACATGAAATCTCTGTGATACAGAAGCCTGGGAAACTAAGATTTCTCTGTAGCATTAAAACAGGCTTTGGTCAAAGTGGATCTATTTCAAGTTTAATTTTATAATCTATTTCAAGTTTAATTTTATATAAGCAGCCTTTGTTCAAAACAAAGGTCTTCTTAAGCAAAGCGTTTGAATGTTACTCAGAAGTAAAAAATTTCTGAATTCAAATAGTTACAATAAAATGTTTAGAAAATTAGTAATTTTTTTTTTTGAGAAAGCCAGCCAACTGAAAAACCCTTTTTAGCCAACCCTTCTCGATGTTAGACATGATTGCCACCCAAACGCTGAGTTTGTCTCTGTGAAATTGCCAGGGGTCTGTTTCAGAGGAAAAGTGCGGGGATAACAGTTGTTGCTGGAGGAACCGCTCAAGACCTTGGTTTAAAGGTGTCCATAGCCCTTTTTCACAAATAAAAAAATTCATTCGTAATATACTAAAGGAAATAAGCTGTGCACACAGAAAGGAAGAATGGGAATGCAGGATTTTGCACAGACTCCTCGGGCTCCTTGTGAAACGCGTCTTCTAGAGGTCTCCTCAATACTAAATTGGTGATCACAGCCCAAGAAGGCCGACAAGTTTTAATTACAACTGCTAACAGGGTTAATGGTAGAGGGTGGAAGGGGAGTTCATTCTTAGTTTGCTTGTCCCAGGTAGTGGCTGTTGGCTTCAGGAAGGCTGGTTACACAGCCAGAGACTGTCCTGTTGGTGCTTCCGATAGTTTGAACTTTTCTGTAGTTGCCATGTCCTGAATTTGGTCAGTCATCCCATTAGTACTTCTTGAAGCCAAAGTAACCAAGCTGAAAATGAGCACCCCTCATCTGCTAGGAAATGAGTGGGGACCTAATATGTTTTCCTCCCAAGTCGGTAACTTTTGACAAATATTTCAAAACACACTAGTGATTTGTGAGCTTCCATTAGTTTAAAAGCTGCCGCCTTCTTTCTTGCCTACCCTCAAGGGCTTAATTATTTTTTCTTGGTGATGAAGTAAGCATCTTATGGGAAGTTCTACTTATTTGTTAAATGCTTTGCCGTTTCTTGGGCAATACTTTTCCCATAGGGATTTTTGACTGTTCCTCACCTCCACCCCTGGAAAAGCGATGGAACAGCTTGTTCTGGATGTGAACAAAATCATGGGGTGAAACCATTCAGTTTTTCTAAACAGCTCCTGTATTAATGAAGTAGCATTTTTCAATGAAAAAATTACGAGCCAGAATCTCCTAATTAAGGCTCTGTAAAGCACACTAGATGGGTGCAAACACGTCTGCCAGTGGCAGGGGAAGTATGAGCAGTCCAGCATGTTCTGCAGTTGCCGTATTGTATTCTTTCCCTCTGAGTCTGCACTTGGCATTGTTGGCGACAGGGTTCTGGCCTAGGTGATCTTACAGCCTGCCCGGATATACTTAGCGCTTTCCTTTCACCTTCGTTATATCAGATACAAGCTTCTCGAGGCATTAAAAAGTAAATCAGTAATTTTTGAAGCTTCTGAAGTTAATGATAAGCCTTTTTTCTTCAAATCTATGTATAGTGCTGGCCCTTTTTTTTATGTCCGAATTGACACTGAGACTAAATCTTCTTGCTCTTTTAATGAAGTGACTTTTGAACATTTCTACATTAATTCGTTACAGTTTATTGGGATCATGGGAAAGGAGAGCTGCATTTATAGATGGTTCTGTTAGGAATAATAGCAGAACATAAATATTTGAGGGATTACTCAGTAGTGGGCAATGGATGTTTTGTCCTTGTGAAATGCCAGTCTCTAATTAGCAGCAGGAGACAAGGCCTTAACTACAGGGTGGATTTTTAGCAGTAGCTGCCAAGATGTAAGAGAGGATGTGAGAGCAGAGCAAGCTGATAAACACATTACTAGGATGGTACGAATTTCAAATGGTAAGAAAAAGGTACATTCCTGTTGAATACCTCTGTAGGAAAATAGTGCCGAAATAAACGTTAGGAATGTATGGAGTTGCCCACAGAATGGTCTGTAGTCAGATCTGAAAGAGCCAATGCATACTTCAAAATTACCTTTTAAACTGGTGAAGATTAAAAATACAAGCTGTCTTGGCAGGATTTTTCAGCAGAACTATAGGAGAAGAAAAGGTGACTGTGGAGATCACCACGATCAAGAGGAAACTCGGTCCCCATCTTTCTAACCTAATGTTTTATTTTGCTGAAGACTCCAATGATATTCTACTCCCCCCAAAAAGTGATGCTTTAAAAGGCAGGGGAGTTGTGACCCTCCTTTGTTCATGTTTAAGCAGCACTTTACCAGGGCTCGATTTGGAAAAGGTGACAGGAGAGACAACGAAGAGTTCAGAGTTCCCAGCATGGCAGCACACTTGGTTCGGCTCCACCAACATCATCTCCCAGCAGGTCTGCTAAATGCCGAGCAGTCGTCAGGCAGGCGCTTCGGCAGAGGGCTCGGGTAGTGTCACAGTTTCCTTCGTCTAAAGTATCAGCCCTTTTTCCAAGATAATAGCTCTGTTCCACAGTTCTCTGTTAGGTTTATGTTTTCCAGGTATTCCCCTGTCTTTGCAATTGGAGGTGGTTTCTTTTTTTTTTTTTCTTTATTCCTTCTTCTTTTTCTTCCTTCTTGTTTCTTACAGAATTCAAATCAGATGCATTCTCTATCCAAACTTCTGGTATTTCATGAGACTGCCTCAGATCCACAGCCCACATGCCTGGGCCTAAAATATGTCAGATTTTCCCCAGATGTGTCCCTCTTGTGAGGGCTTTGGCCATGAGCCTGAGGTTTTTGGATATATAGCAATCCCAGGCAAATGGCAGCTGCACGAGCACAAAGCAACTGCGCGGTGTGGGAGCAGTTTCCCCGACTTCCGCGGATATGGCAAGCCCGCGGCGTGGGGGATCTCTTTGTGCGTGGTAAATCCCATGCTGCTCCAATCTGAACACCAGAAGCTGG